GCTTCTTGAAACTTCACTCAATCAATAAGTTCTTAGTACACACTCTGTAGTTTGTTTTTTGTACAAGTAGCCCTAAGCTGAACTAGAAAGAAACAGCTTTAATGTTGAGTGCTTTAGTAGAAAGCAAGCCATTATCAATGTAGTGTAATAGCTGGAAATTTTTTTTGTTCAGATTTTTTGATACTGGGCAGGATTTATTTTTTACCTAACCAAACTAGGCTCCCTAAGTTTGGGTACTGTATGTTCAATGCTTCGCTGTCAGAAGAGTTTGAATTTTCATGTTTCACTTCAGGTTGCCATATAGAGATAAATGGAAAGGGAAGTGGAAATCAAACAGGGTTTGTTCTGGCTGATTGAAACTTCACTCAATCAGTTCTCAGTGCATACTCTCTACTTTGTTTCTTGTTGAAGAAGCCTGAAGATGAATTAGAAAGAAATAGATGTATCTGTGAGTGCTTTAGGAGAAAGCAGGCAAATATACTTTTATTGAAATAGCTGCAAATATTTTTATCTGATTTCTTTGATACTATGCAGGATTCATGCATTACTTAACTACACTAGGATCTCCAAATTGGGGTATTCTATGTTCAATGGTTCACTGTCAGGAGCAGTTTGAATTTTCATGATTCTCTTCAGTTTACCCCCAATGGAAAGGGAAGTGAAAATCAAACAGTGTTTGCACTAGCTGCTTGAAACTTCACTCACTCACTCAGTTCTCAATGCTCACTCTATGGTTTGTTCCTTGTTGAAGTAGACCTAAGCTGATGTAGAAAGAAAGAGCTTTATCTGTAAGTGCTTTAGGAGAAAGCAGGCAATTACCCATGTACTGAAATGGCTGCAAAAATTTTTAGGTCAATTTCTTTGATACTAGGCAGGATTCCTCCTTCACCTGACCCCAATAGGCTCCACAAATTTCAGTCTTCCTGATTCGTTCATTCACTAACATGTTAGGGTTCATTTTAGGGTTATATTTAGCATTTGGTTTAGAATTAGGGTTAAGGTTAGGGTTAGTGTTATGGTTATGATTAAGTTTTGTTGGATTTCTTTGATCCTGGGCAGGTTTCATCCTTTGCCTATCCCCTCTAATCTCCTTAAGTTTGGTACTTTAAGTTCAATAGTTCACTGTCATCAACAGTTTGAATTTTCATGTTTCACTTCATTTTGCCCTATGGGGATTAATGAAAAGGGAGGTGGAATTCAAACAAGGCTTGTGCTACCTGCTTGAAACTTCACTTATTCAATCAGTTCTCAGTGTTCACTCTATGGATTGTTCTTTCTTGAAGTAGCACTAAGCTGAAATGTAAAGAAACAGCTTTATCTGTGAGTGCTTAAAGAGAAAGCAGGCAAATACCCATGTACTGAAATAGCTTCAAAGATTTTTGGTGGGATTTCTTTGATACTGGTCAGGATTAACCTTTACTTAACCCCACTAGGCTCCCCAATTTTGGGTCTTCTAGGTTCAATGGTTGGCTGTCAGGAGCAGTTTGAATTTTCATGTTTCACTTCAGTTTGCCCTAAATGGAAAGAATTGTGGAAGTCAAACAGGGTTTGTGCTAGCTTCCTGAAACTTTACTTACTCAATCAGTTCTCAGTGCACACTCTCTGGTTTGTTTTTTGTTGAAATGGCCCTAAGCTGAAGGAGAATGAAACAGCTTTATCTGCAAGTGCTTTAGGAGAACACAGGCAAATATGCATGTACTGAAATAGCTGCCAAAATTTTTGGTTGGATTCTTTGACACTGGGCAGGATTCATCCTTTACCTAGACCCAATAGGCCCCCTAAGTTTGATACTTGTTGGTTCAATTGTTCACTGTCAGGAACAGTATGAATTTTCATGTTTCAATTTCTTTGACCTTATAGGAATGCATGAAAATTTAGGTGGAAATCAAAAAGGGTTTGTGGCAACTGCTTGAAACTTCACTCACTCAATATGTTCTCACTGAACACTCTCTGGTTTATTCCTGGTTGAAGTAGCCCTAAGCTGAAGTAGAAAGAAACAGGTTTAATTGTGAGAACTTAAGTAGAAAGCAGGCAATTACATTTGTTCTGAAATAGCAGCAAAATTTTTTGTTCAGATTTTTTAAAACTGGGCAAAAATCATCCTTTACCTAACCTCACTAGGCTCCACAAGTTTGGGTTTTCTAGGTTCAATGGTTTCCTGTCAGGAGAAGTTTTAGTTCTCATGTTTTAGTTCTCATGTTTCACTTCAATTTTCCCTGAATGGAAAGGGAGGTGGAAACCCAACAGGGTTTGTGCTAGCTCATTGAAACTTCATTCAGTCAATCTGTTCTCAGTGTGCACTCTCTGGTTTTTTCCTTGTTGAATTAGCCCTCAGCTTAATTAGAAAGAAACAGCTTTTTCTGTGAGTGCTTTAGGAGAAGCATGCAAATACACATGTACTGAAATAGCTGCAAAAGTTTTTTTCTGTTTTTTTAATACTGGGCAGATTCATTCTTTACCTGACCCCACAAAGCTTTCCAATTTTGAATTTTCTTGATTCAATGGCTCACTGTGAGGAACAGTTTAAATTTTCATGTTTCACTGCAGTTTGCCCTGAATGGAAACGGTATTGGAAATCAAACAGGGTTTATGCTAGCTGCTTGAAACTTCACTCACTCAATCAGTTCTCAGTACACACTCTCTGGTTTGTTCCTTGTTGAAGTACCCCTAATCTGAAATATAAAGAAACAGCTTTATCTCTGAGTGCATTAGGAAAACACAGGCAAGTACCTATGTACCGAAATAGCAGCAAAATTTTTTGGTCAGATTTCTTGGATACTGGGCAAGATTCATCCTTTTCTTAATCCCATGGGCTCCCCAGATTTGGGTCTTCTAGGTTCAATAGTTAACTAACAAGGTAGGGTTAGGTTTAGGAATAGGGTTAGGTTTATGTTTAGGGTTATTGTTAGGGTTAGGGATAAGTTTGGTTAGATTTTGTTGATACTGGGCAGGATACTTCCTTAACCTAGTCCCAGTAGTCTCATCAAGTTTGGGACTTTTTAGTTCAATGTTTCAATATCAGGAACTGTTGAAATTTTCATGTTTTACTTCATTTTGCCTCATTAGCATGAATGAATATGGAGTGAAAATTAAACACTATTTGTTCTAATTTCTTAAGACTTCACTCACTCAATCAGTTCTCAGTACACACTCTCTGGTTTGTTCCTGGTTGAAGTAACCTTAAGCTGAAGTAGAAAGAAACAGCTTTATCTGTGAGTGCTTTAGGAGAATGTAGGCAAATACCCATGTACTGAAATAGCTGAAAACTTTTTAGGTTGGATTTCTTTGATACTGAGCAAGATTTATTCTTTACCTAATCCCACTAGGCTTTCCAAATCTGGGTCTTCTAGGTTCAAAATTTAGCTGTTGGGAGCAGTTTGCATTTCATGTTTTACTTCATTTTTCCCTATAGGGATGAATGGAAAGGGAAGAGAAAATCAAACAGGGTTTGCACATACTGCTTGAAACTTCACCTACTCAATCACTTCTCTGTGAGAACTCTTCAGTTTTTCCTTGTTGAAGTAGCCTTAAGCTGAAGTAGAAAAAAAAATCTTTATATTTGATCACTTTAGTAGAAAGCAGGCACATGCCAATATACTGAAGTAAATGCAAAATTTTATTGGTTGGATTTCTATGATACTGAGCAGAATTCATCCTTCTCCTAAACCCACTAGTCTGCCAAAGTTTGGGTCTTCTAGGTTCAGTGGTTTGCTTTAAGGAGCAGTTTGAATTTTCATGTTTTATTTCATTTTTCCTTATTCAAATAAATGGAAGAAAAATCAAACAGGGTTGGTGCGAGTTTCTTGAAGATTCACTCACTCAATCAGTTCTCAGTGCATATTCTATGTTTGACCCTTGTTGAAGTAGTCCAAAGCTGAAGTAGAAAGAAACAGCTTTATCTGTTAGCACGTTAGGAGAACATAGGCAAATACCCATGTACTAAATTAGCTGAATATTTTTTTGGTCGGATTTCTTTCATACTGGGCTGGATTCATCATTTGCCTAACCCCACAGGCTCAACAAGTTTGGATCTCTAGGTTCAAAGGTTCTCTAACAATTTAGGTTTAGGTTTAGTGTTAGGGTTAGGGTTATGTTTATGGTTGGAGTTAGTGTTAGGGTTAGGGTTAAGTTTGGTCAGATTTAATTGATACTGGGCAGGATTCATCTTTACCAATTCCAACTAGGATCCCCATGTTTGGACATCTAGGTTCAATGGTTTGCTAACAGGTTAGGGTTAGGGTTAAGATTAGGGTTATGTTTAGGTTAAAGGTTTGGTTTAGCGTTAGGCTTAGGGTTTAGTTTGCTTGGATTTCATTGATACTGTGCAGAATTCATCCTTTACCTAGCCCCAGTAGGGTCCCCAAGTTTGGGAATTATCAGATCAATGGTTCGCTGTCAGGAACAGTTTGAATTTTTATGTATCAATTCATTTGGACTTAAGGAGATGAATGGAAATTGAGGTGGAAATCAAATATTGTTTATGGTAGCTGTTTGAAACTTCACTCACTCAATCAGTTCTCAGTGTGCACTTTCTGGTTTGTTTCTTGTTGAAGTAGCCCTAAGCTGAAGTACAAAGAAAGAGCTTTATCTGTTAGTGCATTAGAATAAATCAGGCAATTACCCATGTACTGAAATAGCTGCAAAATTTACTTTTGCAGGATTCCTCTGATAATGTACAAGATTCATCCTGTCCTTAATCCCAATAGGCTCCATGTATGGGTTAGGCAAATAACTGTGGGAAGCCATTCTCGCACGTGATTGGGCACCTCCCTGATTGGGTGTGAGGCGTTCTGGCCAAAGTGTGTTGGAGCTTATCCCCACCCTCTCCAGGTGCGAGAGCCTGTCCGTGCGGGGATGTGACTGACCATTGACCCTGAGACCAATCACTGACCCTGACCTTGGAATGCTGCCCCCCTCGACCTTCATTGGATGGAATTTTCCCCTGAATTTCTTGTTCCCCAATAAAAGGCCACTCCCTGGCATGCTTTCTCTCTCTGTCTCTCTCCTGCTACTCCTGAGTAAGCCTTGCTGCCCCACCAGGTGGTTCAAGGTGAGAGCTAGAGGGAGGGCCATCTCGGACCTGGTCAAAGAAAAAGGTAATTGAGTCTTGTGTGTTTATTTTGATCTCACTAGTTAACTTCTATGCTACAAACCTCTTGTATGAAACCAGCATGCTGGTCGCGTGGTGGAAATAACCATGTACTGAAATAGCAACAAAACATTTTGGTCAGATTTCTTTGATCTGGGCAGGATTCATACTTTACCTATCCCCATTAGGCTCCCCAAGTTTGGATCTTCTAGGTTAATTGGTTTGCTGTTAGGAGCAGTTTGAATTTTCATGTTTCACTTTATTTTGCCCTCCAGGAATTAATGTAAATTGAGTTGGAAATCAAACAGTGTTTGCACTAGCTGCTTGAAACTTCACTCACTCAATCAGTTCTGTGTTCACTCTCTGGTTTGTTACTTGTTGAAATATCCCTAAGCTGAAGTAGAAAGAAACAGCTTTATCTGTGAGTACTTTAGGAGAACACAGGCAAATAACCATGTACTGTAATAGCTGCAAGGTTTTTTGGACAGATTTTTTTCATACATGGCAGAATTCATCCTTTACCTAACCCCACTAGTCTCCCTAAGTTTGGGTCTTCCAAGTTCAATGGTTTGCTAACAGGTTAGGGTTACATTTAGGGTTAGGGTTAGGGTTAGCATTAGGGTTAGTGTTAGTATTAAGGTTAAGTTTTGTAGGATTTCATTGAACCTGGGCAGGATTAATTTTTTACCTATCTCCGCAGTCTTCCCAAGTTTGGACTTCTAGGTTCAATGGTTCACTGTCAGGAACACTTTGAATTTTCATGTTTCACTTCATTTTGCCCTATATGGATGAATGGAATGGGATGTAGAAATCAAACAGGGTTGGTGCTAGCTGCTTGAAACTTCACTCACTGAATCATTTCTCAGTGCACACTCACTGATTTGTGCTTCGTTGAAGTAGCCCTAAGCTCAAGCAGGCAGGAAAAACTTTATCTGGGAACAAAAGAAAATACTCATGGACTAAAATAGCTCCAAAATTGTTTTGGTCGAATTCTCTTTATACTGGACAAGATTCATCCTTTACCTAATGTGACTAGGCTTCCTAAGTTTGGGTCTTCTAGGTTCAATTGTTCATTAACAGGAATAGGTTAGGTTTAGGTTTAGGGTAAAGGTTAGGGTTAGCGTTACGGTTAGGATTAGGTTTGGTGGGATATCTTTGATACTGGGCTAGATTTATTCTTTCACTAACACCATTTGGATCCCAAGTTTGGTTCCCCAGGATCAATGATTCACAAGCAGGAAGTGTTTGGATTTTCAGGTTTCATTTCTTTTTGCCTTGTAGTGTTATATGGAAATGGAGCTTCAAGTCAAACACCATTTGTGCTAGCTCCTTGAAAGTATACACACTCAGTAAGTTCTCAGTGCTCAATCTCTGATTTGCTCCTGTTTAAAATATCCCTAAGCAGAAGCACTCAGGCATAGCTGTACCTGTGAATGCTTTAGGAGCTCACCATAGAATATCCATGCACTGTAACAGCTGCAAAAATTTTTTCATTGGATTTATTTGATACTGGGCAGGATTTATCTTTTCACTATCCCCACTTGGCTTCCCAAGTTTGGTTGTCCTAGGTTCGAGCCTTCTCAGGCAGGAACAATTTGAAATTTCAGGTTTCACTTTGTTTTGCCCTGTAGTGATGAATGGAAATGGAGCTTCAAATCTAACACCATTTGTCCTAGCTCCTTAAAACTTCACACACTCAATTAGTACTCAGAATGCTCTTTATAGTTTCATTCTGGTTGAAGTAGACCTAAGCAGAAACACACAAGAAGAACTCTCCCTGGAGTACTTGAGGAGCTACAAAAAGCATACCCATGTACTGAAACAGCTGCAAAATTTTTTTCATTGGATTTCTTTGATACTGGGCAAGATTTATCCTTTCACTACTGCCACTTGGCTCTCCAATTTTGGTTCTCCTGGGTTCAACCGTGTGAATGCAGGAACAATTTTAATTTGCAGGTTTCACTATGATTTGCCCTGTAGTGATGAATGGAAATGGAGCTACAAATCAAACACCATTTTTTCTAGCTGCTTGAAACATCACACACTTAATCAGGTATCAGTGTGCACTCTATGGTTTGTTCCTGGTGAAGTAGCCCTAAGCAGAATCATGCAGGAACTACTTTCCCAAAGAGTACTTTAGGAGCTAGCAGGAGAATATCCATGTACTGAAATTTCTCCAAAAATTTTTTTCATTGTATTTCTTTGATAGTCAGCAGGATTCATACTTTCACTAACCTTTGGATCCCAAGTATGGTTCTCCTAGGATCAATGGTTTGCAAGAAAAAATAGTTTGAATTTTCAGGTTTCATTTTGTTTTGCTCTGTAGTGATGAATGGAAATGGAGTTGCAAATCAAACACCGTTTGTGCAACTTGCTTGAAACTTCACACACTCATCAGTTCTCAGTGAACACTCTTTGTTTTTTTTTCTAGTTAAAGTAGCCCTAAGCAGAAGCACTCAGAAACAGCTTTCACTGGGAGCATTTTAGGAGCTACCAGGAGAATACCCATGCACTGAAATAGCTGCCAAAATTTTTTTGTCTGACTTCTTAGATACTGGGCAGAATTCATCCTTTCAGTAACTTCTTTGATACTGGGCAAGATTCATCATTTGTCCTAGCTCCTTAAAACTATGCTGCAAGTTTGGTTCTCCTAGGTCATAGGCAGGATCAATTTGAATTTTCAGGTTTCACTTCATTTTGCCCTATAGTGATGAATGGAAATGGAGCTACAAATCAAACAGAATTTGTGCTAACTGCTTGAAACTTCACACATTCCATCAGTTCTCAGTGCACACTCTGGTTTGTTCCTGATTGAAGTAGCCCTAATCAGAAGCATACAGGAATAGCTTGTTCTGGGAGCTCTTTAGGAGGTAGCAGAAGAATATCCATGTACTGAAATAGCTGGAAAAATCTTTTCATTGTATTGGTATGGCACTGGGCAGGATTCTTTTTTTCACAACCCTCAGTTGGCTTCCCATGTTTGGTTCTCCTTGGTTCAACTGTTTTCGGGTAGGAATGCTTTGAATTTTCAGGTTTCACTTAATTTTGCCCTATAGAGATGAATGCAATTGGAACTGGAAATCCAACACGGTTTGTGCTAGATGCTTGAAACTTCACACAGTTAGTTCTCAGTGCGCACTCCCTGCTTTGTTCCCTGTTGAAGTAGCCCTAAGCAGAACCATTTCCCTGTGAGAGCAAGAACACCTTCATTCAGGAGTACTTGAACAGCTTTCAGGAAATTCTGAATTTAGTGGAATCTCTGCCCAAATTCTTCTTGTGGATTTCCTAGATACTGGGCAGAATGGATCCTTTCACCAGTTCCATTGTACCACCAAAATTTGGACCACCTAGTTTCAAAGGGTCACTGGCAGGAATGCTTTGAATTTTCAGGATTTATTTTGTTTTCCTCTATAAGGATGAATGCAATTGGATCTGGAAATCCAATTCAGTTTGTGCTAGCTGCTTGAAACTACACATCCTCAGTTAGTTCTCAGTGTTCACTTCCTGTACTGTTGCCTATTGAAGTAGTCCTAAGCAGAAGCATGTGGAAGAACACCATCTTTTGGGAACGTTTGTGCAGCTTGCAAGAAAGTCCAAATTTACTGAAATCTCTGCCCAAATTTTTCCTGCCAATTTCATTGATAATGGGCTGGATGAATCAATTCACCAGTTTCACCTTGTCCCCCACATTTGATCCTCCTAGATTCAAGAATGTGATGGCACAAACGCTTTGAATTTTCCCGTTTCACTTCATTTTGCCCTAAGGGGATGAATGCAATAAAAAGTGTGAATCCAACATGGTTTTTCTAGCAGCATAAAACTTCACATACTCCATTAGTTGCAGTGTGCACTCCCTGCTCTGTTCCCTGTTGAGGTAGCCCTAGGCAGAAGCATTTCCCAGAGCCTAGAGAAACACCTTTCTGGGGGAGCATTTGAGCAGCTTGCAGGAAAGTCTGGATTTATTGGAGATTTTGCCCAAATTTTTCCTGCAAATTTTGTTTATTCTTGGCAGGATGGATTATTTCATGAGTCCCACCTTGCCTCCCAAATTTGGCATCCTAGGTTCAGGGGTGCACTGCCAGGAATGCTTTGAATTTTCAGGTTTCACTTTGTTTTGCCCTATAGGGATGAATGCTATTGGAACTGGAAATCTAACATGGTTTGTATTAGCTGCTTGAAACTTCACATGCTCAATTATTTCTCCATATGTGCACAATAGTTTGTTTCTAGTTGAAGTAGCCAGAACACAGAAACACATTTTCCTGTAAGTGCTTTTGGAGATAGCTAGAATATAACTTTACTGAAACAGCTCCAAAAAATTTTTCATTGGATATTTTATGTACTAGGCAGGATTGATCCTTTCACCAGAACCACTTGGCTTTTCAAGTTTGGTTTTCTTAGGTTCAATGATTTGCTGACAGGAACAGGTTGAATTTTCAGGTTTCACTTTGTTTTACACTGTAGGGTTGAATGGAAATGGACCTAAAATCCAAACACGGTTTGTGCTAGGTGCTTCACATTTCACACATTCAGTTAGTTATCAGTGGGGGCACAGAGGTTTGTTTCTAGTTGAAGTTTCCCTAAAAAGAAAAAAAAGATGCAGGAAGATGTTATACTTTGAATGCTTTAGAAGCTAGCAGGAGAGCAGCTATTTACTGAAAGTGTTCAAATCTTTCTTTTTGTCAAATTTCTTTGATATTGGGCAGGATTGGTCATTTCACCATCCCCAATTGGCTCCCCAAGTTTGTTTTTCCTAGATTGAATGGTTCCATGTCAGTAACAGTTTGAATTTTCATGTTTCTCTTCATTTTGCCCTGGAGAGTTAAATGGAATTGGACCTGTAAATCAAATACAGTTTGTGATAGCTGCTTGAAACTTCACACACTCAGTTAGTTCTCAGTGTGAACTCCCTACTTTGTTCCCTGTTGAAGTACCCCTAAGCAGAAGCATTTCCAAGAGCAAGCAGAAACACCTTCATTTGGGAGAATTTGAACAGCTTGCAGGTAA